TCCCTACTTCGCCATTACAAGGTAAAGTCTACTGCAGTTACATGTCTAAAATAGCTCATCTTGCTTGAAAGAGGAGTATGGTTTATTATAGCAAATAAAAAGAGGGGAACCAGCAGATGGTGTAATAGTTACGTTGCTGGACTCCCATGTAGTTAACTGTGATTCAAGTCCTGGACCCAGTGGCTTAAAACTCACACCAGGTGTGTGTGCACGCGTACCCAAGATCCCAAGAGAAGAATGGAAGAGAAGGGATTGCGGCATGGCCATCTCTTCTGCAAGGGGGAGGGTGATTTCTCGCTTTCTGTCTCTCTATCTCTCTCTGTCTCTCTGCCAAGTGCACACACCCTATAGCAAAAATTTCTCTTAAAAAAAACCGATGAGGGACCAGCAGTTGGTGTAATGGCTATGTTGCTGGACTCCCATGTAGTCGACTGCAGTTTGAGTCCCAGACCTGGTGGCTTAAACTCACACTGGATGCATGTGCGTGCATGCCCAAGATCCCCAGAGGAGAGTGGAGGAGAAGGGATTGCGGCGTGGCCATCTGCCTCCGGGGGTGATTTCTCACTTTCTGTCTCTCTCTTTCTCTGTTTTTCTGGCAAGCACACGTGCCCTATAGCAAAAACCTCTCAAAAAAAAACAAAACAAGACAAAACAACAACTGATGAAAAAGGCTAGGATTAACTAAATTTCTCATCTAGCCAAAACTTTGTGTGTGTGTGTGTGTGTGCGCATATAAATAAAATTTTTCGTGTGTGTTAAGGTCTGCATGCATCAAGGAGATATCTCAAAGACAGGGATAAAGTACTGGTTGCAGCTGCCCTCCTCTGTTTTTCCTGGTTATGTAATACCATGCTAATGTTTGTGAGAGTGGCGTGGCGAGAGCCCCTGCCATAGCCATACCAGGTGTAAATCCTTCTCTCAGCTCACTGCCAAAAAATCTGGTGACTCATAAGATTTTTCAGCAGCCAGTGATAATGATATGACATTTTTAGCATTTACCAACCCAAGAGTAATGATACAAATATAGCTAACTTTGTCCAACAACAGGTACCCTGTGGATATTAAAAAGATACTAAATGTAAAGAAAAATGTCAGTTTAGTGAGTTTCATGGCTAAGAGAGTCAATAGCCCAAAATAGAGGATCATGAGTTCTTTTTGGCTTGTCTACCTAATGATTCCATTCCTGGTGGTCTCTTTTACTCAAATTATCTGGGCTTTGCTAATTTTTTTTTCGGTATCAGTTTTAATGCCCTCTTTAGATACTTCACTAGGGCCTGATGACTTTCTTCAAGGAACCATCTAAAGTTTCATGCTGTTGATCTAAAGTTTCCAACTGGCTGATCATATTCCTACCTTTGGAACAGGTATCCCAACAATTTTGCAGGTGAATGTGACTGGAGAGCCTTCTGTGACCCGGAAGTGCTTGAGTCTTTTGTCAAAGATGGGAGCAATACACTTGCCCGTGGGGATCTCATCGTGTTGGATTTCATCGTCTGATTCATCAACAGGAGTACGTTCCAAGCGAAACTCTATTTCATTCATAAGCCTTTGCTCAAAGCTTGAAATTTTGTACTCCTGTCAAAATGACAAACATGTTTCAGTTTTTTGGTGGGGAAGAATGTGTCTACAGTGTAAATGAGGATGCAGTTTTCTAAGATTCAGATGTTAGATTACTACTAAGGAACTGCAATCATCCAGGCACGGTCCACTTCCAGTTCCTTACCATGGAGCACTAAAGGGAACGTCAGTGTCTCTACTCTAATCCCAAACTGCTGTAGTGATCCTGATTCCTCATCTTGAGCCTGGAGCCCAGCAGAGCTCTGTAGGGAATGGAAAGAAGATGGCATACCATTTCCCTAACTCCCACCAGTGTTCATTGCCATACACAGACCTGTCTACAGAGTTATTTGGGCAAAGCTATTCTGAACTGCACTCTGAAACATGCCTGCAACACCCAAGCCCTGTCTCTACTGCATGTTCTCATCCGAACATTTGAAGAAAACCTATCTTGAATAATTTCCCTAATCCCATGTCTACATTTTCTGCATCCTCTGTTCTCTTCATAACGAAACTATTTAAAGTAATTCTTTGTTACAGAACCATTTCCTTGTTGCCTATTCTCTTATTCACATATTCCAATTAGGTTCGCGTCCTCACTGTTCCACCAAGATTGCTCCTGTTAGAATCTCCAAATTCGCTAAATTTAGCTATCGCTTACAACTTCTTACCTTGTTTCAACTCTCGGCAGCTTTATACACAGAGAGCTACCTTATCAAACCTTCTCCTTTATGAAGCATCTCCTGTTGGTTTCCATACCACATCATACTGGTTTTCCATCTCCTTCACTGGCTGTATCTTATCACTCTTCTTTGCTGGCTCCTATTTTTCTATACTAGGTGAGCTCATCCAACGTGGAACTTTTAATACT